CATTTCTGTGCTCCTGTGTAATGTCATCTTTTCACTCGTGACTGGGAAGTGTCCCCTCAGAGCCTCCACTGCTGCTGGTGGACGGGGTCTGCCCCAGCCCAGGCACACACAAGTCTCCTCCAGGGCCTGTCCCAATGGGGCCGCCAGACAGCCTCTCCAGCTGCTTATCATGCAGGGTCAGAGTTCCCACAGCTGTGCTGCTGCAGGGAGCTGGCTCTGGGTCTGCACCTCCCATCGTGCCCCAGCCCTGTGGCAAAATCTGTGTTAGTCAGGGCTCTGTAGAGAAACAGAACTGCTGAAGCCTATTTGACTCAGTGGATAGAGCGTCCGCTTTGCGGACTGAAGGGTCCCAGGTTCGACTCCGGTCAGGGGCATGTACCTTGGTGGCGGGCACATCCCTAGTGGAAGGTGTGCAAGAGGCAGCTGATCAATGTTTCTCTCTCTTCCTCTCTGTAAAAAATCAATAAAATATATATGTTTTAATATATTTTATTGATTTTCTTACATATTTTATTGACTTTTTTACAGAGAGGAAGGGAGAGGGATAGAAACATCGATGGAAGGAACATTGATCAGCTGCCTCCTGCATGCCCCCCTCTGGGGATGTGCCCGCAACCAAGGTACATGCCCTTGACCGGAATTGAACCTGGGACCTTTCAGTCCATAGACCGACGCTCTATCCACTGAGCCAAACCAGTTTCAGCTAAAATATATTTTTTTAAAAAGAGAAAAAGAAACAGAACAATAGGATGTGTATACAGAGAGAAAGGTGCGTTTTAAGGAATTGGCCCATGCAATGATGGAGGCCTGGTTAGTCCAAAATCTGCAGGGCGGCTGGCCCACTGGGGACCCGGGGGAGAGTCTCCGTTGGAGAGGGGAGGCTGTTGGCTGGGGTCCTGTGTCCTGCTGAGCCCCTGCGCTGGGCCTCCAGGCTCCTGTTCGTGTGCCTGGGAGTATGAATGGTCCTAGCGGACCTGCCTTCCTTTGGGAGCCTCACAGAGCCTGGAGGAAATGCCTAATTTCCTGGACCTCGCTGCTGTGGAAACAGGCCGTGTTTACCTCTCACACTGGTAAAATTCACACATTTCATACTACCCAGAGTTGGTGAGCATATCCTGGAGCTGCGGTAACAAAGCACCACAAGCCAGGTGGCTGGAAACCACAGAAAGCCACTCTGTCACAGTGGAGGCAGAACCCGGGTGTCCCAGGGCCATTCCCCCTCCAGGGAGGGTCCTCCTGCCTCTTCCAGTGGTGGCTCCAGGAATCCTAGCCTGTAGCTCCATGGCTCATCTCTGTCCATGTCTGTGTTCCCCTTTGGTCCCTGTCTCCCTCTGCCTGTCTCTTATAAACACACTTGCCCTTGGACTTGGGCCCTATCTGGATAAGCCAGAGGGATCTCATCTCAAGATCCTCCATTACATCTGCAAAGACCCTTTTTCCAAAGAAGGCCATGTTCTGAGGTCAGGGGCCACCACGCAGTCCCCCGATGGCCTTGAGGAATCTGCTACAGGAAGGCAGGAGGAGCCACCTCCTAGGAGCCCAACTGGACACCGTCCACACACTCTATAGCACACACACCCTCTGACCTGGAAATTTCAGCTCTGGGAATGTGACCCTGCCCCCCACCCCACACACACCCACCCACCCAAGAGGAACAGATACCCGTAACACCCTACACCTGTTGCAACAAATAGGCTGCTCTAAAGCTCTCTTCTCAGGTGAGACCCCGGACGGGCGAGCCCTGTGTGTGTGACCAAGCCCCTCCTCCTCCCTCCCCACCCTTTTAGACATGGTGGAGATGATGCTGCTGCAGAACGCACAGATGCACCAGGTCATCATGCAGAACCTGATGCTCCAAGCCGTGCCCCCAATGGCCCCTGCTCCCTCCAGGGGGCCGCAAGCCACACCCCCGCCCCCCACCCTGCAGGTAGGCCCAGCCTGGAGCAGACGCCAGGTAAAGGAGGCCACCCAAGCAAACACTTCGGGAAACTGAGAGCTGCTTCCTTGGGATGCGTGTTCCCTCCTGACCCTCCCCCCCCCCCCCCCGAAGTCCTCCCCCACTTCCCTGCCCTTCCTGGGCTCTGAGGCCACCCGAAATCAGGAACGGGAGTGAGGGTGGGGGAAAGAGGGGTGCCTGAAGCAGCAGGTCACTGTGGGAATGAGCTGGTGTCTGTGCTGTGCCAGGGCCTGCAGTGGCCTCACCCCGCTGGGCTGCGAGCTGAGAGGCAGAAGCAGCCGTCCTCGGTGCACCATCACCACCACTATGCGCCCCCAGCCCCGCTGCAGGCGGCCCCTGCCTCACCCGTGGCTTACTCCGCGTGGCCCTCGGTGGTCTCCGCCACCGCCCTCCCACCGGCCGCCAGCTTCCTGCCCACCGTGCGCCACGTGGCCGCCCCCTCTGCCGCTGTCCTTAGCACGTAAGGATCCCGGGACCCCGTTGTCCTTCCTCACCTCTACTGAGAGGCCAGTGGACGTAGGTCTCTGTCAGGTCCCCAGGCTGCAGAGGGAATTGGGAAAGGGGCCTGGAAAGGCCCTGCCATCTCCTGAGGGACACAGGTGGGACCATGGAGGCCCCCACCCCAACCCCATCATCACAACTGGGAACCCCAAGGCAACCTCCTGGGGAAGCTATGTGCAGCTTGGGCCATTTGTCTAACCTAGATGACCCTGGGCATGTCCAGTCCAAGCGTGGCTGCGAGGGCCCCTCCTGATCCCCAGAGCAGAGCTCACTTGCCAGTGCGGGGCAGTAATCACACTCAAGACTCTTGCCTTCCCTCTAGGGCTGTGCCTGAAGGTTTCCTGCCTGCTGCCGCTCCGGCTCCGGGCCAGTGAGCCCCTGACACCTGCCTGGTGAGCCCCACGATCCCTCTTCCCTCAGGGACGTGGCCAGAGAAACCGGGTGGAAGCCTGACAGTGGTCCCTGGCCGCTGAGATCAACAGGGATGTTGTCAGAAAAGATGCCCAGCAGCCACAGGAAGAAGATCCATAGCATAGATGTAGTCACATAATAGAAACCTTCCTATGGGAGACAGCCCCGAGGCGAGGGAGGAAAGCAGGCGCTGAGACTGTGATGTGCCGCCCTGGGAGGAAGCACTGGTGACAGGCAGATCCACCCCTTAGCCCGGCCTTTCTCCTGTGAATAAACCCGCAGAGCTGCACGCGACTCCTGAAGAGGCTCCTCTGGTTCTGTTGGGTTTCTCATCTGAAGAATCTGTTACCTTTACTCTTTTTTAAGAAAAAATGTTTTTATTGATTTTAGGGAGAAAGGAAGTGGGATGCAGAGACAGAAACATCGCGTGGCTGCCTCCTGCACAGCCTGCACCCAGGCATGTGCCCTGACCGGGAATCAAACTGGTGACCTCTGGGTTCATTGGCTGATGCTCAACCACTGACCCATACCGCTGGGCTGTTACCTGACTCTCTCTGTACTTCCTGTTACTCTTTTCCTTTGGTGGGGTTATGTTCTCCTGCTTTTTATATGGTTTTCCTGTAAATGTCATTTTTCAGTCGTAGCATGCTTCCATGGCTCCTTTTGGGGTACATCAGCTGGTCCCCTAAGTTCCCAAGGAGCAGAGCACTGTCTGCATCCTCGGGTTCTCCAGGAGGATGTCGGAGGAGGCACGATGCCTGCTTCGCTCCACGCAGGTCCCCTCTGGGCTGCCGTCAGGGCCAAACCGTCCCACAGCCCGGTCTCTTGTTAAATGCACCAATTAAAGGTCTGGCCATAGTTCCTGTTTTCAGATTAATTTTTTCTAACATGGCTTCGGTTTTATTTCTCCATGTTATTAACAGAGGGAAGGCATCTGACAAGTCCACTGTCTTTGGGTAATCTGGTAAACTGGAAACACTCAGCTCAGTGCACCGTCTGAGCAGGGGGAGTCACATGGGGCCACATGGGAGTCATGTGGAGAGCCTCTTGGGGATGCCTGGTGTTCATGAGGGCACATGGAGGGACGAGACCAGCAGGTCTCAGGACCCCGTCAGTCTCTCAAAAATAATTTCAGAGCCAAGAACTGTGTGATCACAAGCAGGCCATGTGCAGCCAACGGTGACTCAGGAATGTCACAGACTCAAGCCTTTCCCCCGAGAGCTGGGGAAGTGCAGACTGAGTGAGACAGGCCACAAATCCAGTGGGAAATGTGTTGGTAACACCTGGTTTTCATGTTTCTAACACAGACTCAGAGGGGAAACCAAATTCTCAGAATTGCAGCACCCCTGGTTGTTGGGGCCAAGAAGAATCTGAGAGGCTGTGTTACTGGCGTGACCTCCTGGAACTCTCTGTGTTGTGGTCAGGATCCTGACCTGACAGGTTCAGGTGACAGCCGGCTGGCTGGGTGCCTGTCCCTCCATCATCTGCTCCCACATATATGCCCCCAGGCTGCTTATTTCATCCTCCTGGGTGGCTGGCTGCAAAGGGGGGAGAGAGAAAGGTTTCATTTCCAAAAGCAGAAACCCCGGGAGGGGCAGGTTAGATGCCCTAAGAGTTTAGAACTGTTTTGTGTGTGTGTTTTTTTTTTTTCTTTTAAATATATTTTATTGATTTTTCACAGAGAGGAAGGGAGAGGGATAGAGAGCTAGAAACATCGACGAGAGAGAGACATGGATCAGCTGCCCCCTGCACACCCCCCACTGGGGACATGCCCGCAACCAAGGCACATGCCCCAACCGGAATCGAACCCGGGACCGCCCAGTTCGCAGACCGACGACGCTCTATCCACTGAGCCAAATGGGTTTCGGCAGTTTAGAACTGTTTTTTATCAAAATACTGAAAATAACATGTCCACTGTGTTCTAAGTAAAGACATGAATGGAGATTTCCCCTGTACGTTAGGAAATAGTTCCACTCGTGGAATTTAGCCCCGGCATGGGCATTGACCAGCCCTCCGTGTGGGGAAGCCTCTGATCCTCGGGACCCACGGGGAGGGGTCAGCTCCCGCCCACATGGTGTCCCTGTGTCCTGCGGGGTCCCTCAGGTACTACCTGCGTCGTGGGCCGTGCTCCTCAGAAGAGGTCCCTGCTCAGGGGCTGGAGCCTGGCCCCCGTGCGCTGGCTCAGCTCCTCGAGAACCTGCTTCTCCTTCTGGTACATCTGCAACGAAGGAATGAAAACCAGCCCTGGACTTGCCCAGCTGGCCTGGCTGCTCGGGCCCTGGGGAGTCCCTGGCTCGGCCCAGGGTCCCCTCCTCGGCATATCCCCTCCCTGAGGCCCGTGTCCCCGAGGCTATGGCATGGGGAGCCTTGGCCATGGGGCTTCCCTCAAGGTTCTGCTCATGGGTGCCCAGCACCCGTGCACAGGGAGTGCCAAAATGCTGCCCGCAGGGTGAACGATAGAGAAGGCAGGAGAGGCTGTGGGCTGGGGCAGAGGGGGTGATCTTGGTAGGAAAGAGGAGAGTCTACTTGGGGGTCACAGGAGAACAGGTGCAGGACACAGGGGAGGGAGGGTGCAGATGGCTCCTCGGGGGGGGGGGGCAGGGCGGTCAGGGCTGGGAGGACTGGGGTCCCTGGCAGACTGCACACACTGAGACTTAGACCTGTTGGATGTAGAGGTGGAGGGCTGAGGAGGAAGGGGTGAAGGGGCCAAGTTAGGGCCAGCATCTGACCGGAAGGGGAGGTGGAGCCAGGGTGAGGCTGGTGTGGACCTAGGATGGCCGGGGGACAGGACAAGTGCGCCAGGGCCTTCTTTTGTGAATGAAAAAGTTTCTTAGGCCTTTCAGAGGATCTGACTATTTGACTACAAATACAGTTTGAGTTTGTTAGTCACAATATGGTTTGTATACCAACATGGACCTTAAAACTCGGGTAAACATTGCACCCTTCGAGGAAGCCAACTGCTCCATAACTCATCAGACACCTGCGTTTTAAATCTTGTTCGAAACTAATAAATAGCATCACAGTTTCTCTCGCGAAGATGTTGTAACTTTAAGCCATCAGAATTTCTTTTTTTTTTTTTTTATGATATACAGTGAAGATTTTTATTATTTATTTTTTCATTTTTTTTATTAAGGTATATATGTGTACATATCTTACCATTACCCCAAAGCCATCAGAATTTCATGGAATTTTTAGAATTCAGCCTCTCTGTTCAGACTTTCAATAGTGAGTGAATAATACAGTTCACAGCATTTGGGGGCCCACCGTTTAAAACAAACATTGTAAAACTTTAAAAAAATAAACATGTATAAAATTCCTTATTTTACTGTTTTTTCCAATTTTGCTTTTCATCGACTGCAAGGGGCAGGTCGGGCAGCCCTGGCTTGTGTGTGTGTGTGGGGGGGGGGGGCACCTACCTTCTGCCACGTGGCCTCTGTGTTATGTGTGAAGCCCAGTAGATGACAGAGCCCATGAGTGGCAGTCACCTGTGGGAACAAGTAAAAAGCTGCCTCAGGGGCTGACCATGACCATGACCAGGCCAGGAGCCAGGGGAGGAGGAGGGCAGGGAGAGCTTAGCCCACATCCGGTGGGCGGTCAGGAGCCCTCCTCTGGGCCCAGGCAGGGATTCCGGAGTCGGTGGCAGCAGCACCAAAGGGGTGAGTGGGCAATGAGAACATGGGCGGGTAGACCAGGGCCCCATCAGGGATGTGAAGACAGGATCTCTGGGGTAGGGAGTGTCAGTGATTATTTCCTGAGGGGACACCTGCTTCTCAGGGCAGAGGGAAGGGTCAGAGGAGTGGAGGATAAGGGGGTAGTTGGAGGGTACTGAGGGCTATGAGAGGGTGCCTACGTGCAGTTGGCAGCCAGGAGGGTGGAGAGCGACTGGCTGGTCCTGTGACGGAAGATGAGGGTCACAGAAGTGGGGGGCTGGCCCTCTACTTCAATACAGAACCCTCAGGAGGTGCTGAGAGGGCAGGGCAGGGCCAACTCCTGACTCCATTTTGTACTGTGTCAAAATTTATATAACTATGTCACTATGTAACTGGACCCTAGCCCTCACCCAACCAATCAGGGTCAGCCAAAGCAGTGACCTCATCACCCCTATAAATCCTTTGTTCTAGAGAGACCCGCTCTCTTCCTCCACCTTGCTGCTGCGTTGGTATGTGGAGGGTAAGCTCAGGCTAGCTCAAAATAAAAAGACTCTTTTGCTTTTGCATCAGACTCGGCTCCCTGGTGGTCTTTGGGGATCACGAAATCTGGGCATAACAGTGCCGGGAAGTGAAATCAGATATTCACAATTGCACCCTCGATCATGCCCCCTGCCCCCTGGGGTGCACCCCCACTGGCCACAGAGATCCCAGAGCTGGACCATGCTGACCAGTCCTGACTACACTGGGCTTCCTGCTGCTCAGGAAGAAAGGGAAACCTCCTCCCCTCAAAACCTGCTCACTCTGAGTCTCAAGTGGAAGCATTAGGACACCCCCTAAAACCCCACAACCTATGTCAGGATATGGCTATTTGGCCAAAGGAAGACCCCTCCATTGAATCCTTGGGGAAGTTAAAATATGACTCTATCACACTCAATACTTTCAGAACTCCCCTCCCCTCCTCCTCACCCCCCCCCCTTTTTTTTTAATATAATAAGCTGAGGACATATCTGAAGGGCCCTGGATGCTAGAATTTTGTCCACTTTGGGCAGTTTCCTAAGAAGCTTATTTAGCAAGCCTGCGTTATCTACACAGCCTGCTGAGCTCGAGGTAAAAGCTAAATCAAGGTCACTACTGGGAGTTTCCCTTATCTCGTATCTCAGTTATGGAGAAACTCCCTGTCCTCTTCCTGTCCTCGGCACTGGCACAGGGCATGCAGATCCCACTCCGCCATCTTCCTCACTGTGGATCTCCCTCTCAGTGGGTCTCCCTCAATAACCTTTGTTCTTCACGTGGGCAATAGTGTGGACACAGGTGGCCCGTCGCCAACCTCTTTATGGCCTGGATGAAGGACATGGTATTTCTTTGCTAAGCAGACCCTGTCATTGGAGCATCCCTACTTACAGTCAGGATGTCATAGTAATTTTCATTTTCTTTGCATTGCTGGAAGATATACTCCACTCCTAGGAAAATGTCCCCCAGGTTATAGTCATCTGGAAAATCAGGCTGGGGAATTTCACCTGCTTTCAGATTCTGCAAAGGAGGGAACAGATTGTGAGAACAGGGCCTCAGGAACACTCACCGGATGGCAGGCCTACAGGCTTCATTCTGGAAGGCATTGTCCTGACTAGTCCTGAGTAGGGGCGGGGGACCACAAAGCCACTACACACAAGTGACTTAACAATGTTTCCACCTTGTGGAGTGATTTTTCTTTCCATTTCTTTCATCCTTCCCAATGCAGTCACACAAATTATGTCTAGAAGTTAAATCAAGATCAACCAAAGGACTTGTGTGCATGCATATGGGCCTAGCCATTGGCCATGGACAACAGAGGGGTGGGGGCATAATTGGGGAGGGGTTTGGGATGGGAATGGGGGGATGAGGACAATTATGTGATACCATAATAAATAAGAAATTTTAAAAAACTAAAAAAGAAAATAGAAGTTAAATCACCACACTGATATAGTTTTATATTTTGGTTCTTTCCTCCTGGTATTTTGTCCTAAATAGCCTTTCACATTTTCTTATTTACCGTAAAGACCATAAGCACCAATCCATTTATTATAGTTGAGTTCAGTTCACAGTAAGCCAGTAACCTATGGCTGCATATTTATCTATAATAGTATTTTAATGTCTTTTTCCCCCCTATTAAGGAAAATAAATGAACTTTAAAAACAATTAAATTCTTTACTGTTGAAAGTATTATATATGTCTCCCTTCCCCCCCATTTACTGCTTCCCAGCTGCTCCCAGACCCCCCAGCACATGCACTCACCCCCCTACTGTGTGTGTCCATTGGTAATGCTTATAAGCATGCATACAGATCCTTTAGTCGATCTCTTACTCTCCCCCATTTCACCCACCCCTGCCTTCCTCTGAGGTTTGGCGGTCTGTTCGATGTTTCTATGTCTCTGAATCTATTTTTGTTCATCAGTTTACATTGTTCATTACTAGTATATTCCACAAATGAGATCATGTGATACTTAATAAGTAAACATTTTAATGCAATTTTATATTATGCATGTAATATTTTATAGTCTTCCTTCTTTGGTTTATTTCTGTGGGTGTGACACTAATGGATTGAAGTCTGTTGCCAAGCTGATTTCCAATTTAGGCTGCTACTAACCCCTGTGGTAAGCCCTGCATGACTCATTTGATAACTTCAAGCGACCTGACAGCTATCACAAGTTTGTAGAAATATTTACACAAGTCTCTTCTTTTATTCAGTGTTATTTAATTTTTAACCATACATATTCATTACTGATTCACACTCAAAACTGCTAATTCACTCATCCTATTAGGTGGGGAGAGGGGTGCTCAATCCCCTTTTCTCCTCCAGAAATGGGCATTGCTCAATAGGGTTGATCTCTACTCTTGTGTATATTGTGGAAGTTTTCAAAATAAAACTAAAAAATCATGTCTGTAATATAAGTAACACCGGAAATTTACACTGAATGGTAGGCTAGACAAGGCGAAGAGAAAAATACTTTTTACCTCATGAAATGGAAAAGAAAGCACATCAGTTGGGATATTTTTCTGTCTGTAGATCCTGTTGATGTGCTGAATACTCTTGTTGTCAACACAGATGATCCCCAGGTCGAATTTCTGGACTCCTAAAATACTCCTGACTATCTCCATCCTCTGGCGGAGCGGCACTCTCCGGAGGGGGATAGCTCGCTGCAGGTTTCTGAGCACCAGACTCATTTCAGGAGGACAACGTGGGCACTTTAAAAAACGTCTGTAAAGGGACCTGTGCTTTAAGTTGAAGAGAAGACAAATCAGTCCTAGAAAGGGCAACACGCACACACAATCAAGTCATTTTATTTGGTGCAATTCATTGGCAAAAAAAAAAAACAACAAAAAAAAAAACAACAACAAAAAAAACAACCCAGGAATTTACATTTTACCATAAGAAAAATATAAAAATGAAGGTCTATAAAATATAAAAATGACGCCAGAGTCAGGCAAGCCAGAATGGATCACAGTAGCCACGGGAAATTAAGGCTGGTGGAGGGGAAGGGACGTTAATAGTGCAAGCGGGTGAGCGGGGTCGGGGCAGTGGAAGTGGAGGGAAGGGTAGAATGGGGTGCCTGGCCGGATCCAGGGCTTCCCCAGGGACCGCTCAGCGCTGACCCCGGGCAGCACGCGGGTGGGCTGACGCCCCCCAAGTAAAGTTCAAAGAGAAGGAGCCACCCGCGTATGTATGGAGAGCGAAGCCTGCGGACACAAGCCTAGTCCCCACGCACCGGAAGCCCCACCGCCGCCGCTCAGCCGGAGAGCGGAACCCGAGCTTGGAGGCCCGCAGGCGGACCCGGATTGCTCAGAAAGGACCGGAAGTCGGTCCGCCACTGTTTTGGTCCGCGGCCCGCGGGGAAGCGCTACTTCCGGTGGTCTTGGTCTGCACTACCGGGTAGGAGCGGAGGTGCCCCGAAACAGCGGCAGTGTCCCTGAGCCGGACCGGACCTTGAGCGCTGCGCGGGGGTCTGAGCCGCGAGGAGGATCCCCCTCCCCTTCTCGCCGTTTCCGGCCCCGCTTCGCGCGGGTCGCTAACAGGGCGGGATGGCGAGGCCCCGGGCCCAGGGTGCGGCCTGTGCGGGGACCTATGGAGCCGCCTGCTAGATGGGGGTCGTCGTGATGCTCAGCTCCAGCCCCTCCCGAGTCTAGGGCGGCCTCTCCACGTGAGTGCTCGACCTTTATCTAGGCTGGTTCGTTCCGGCATAAAAACATTTTATTTCTGTATCTGGAAAGAGTATTTAGTGCTAAGGTTACTCGGAGAATAATTAGGTGGAAGAACTGAAATACCGATGTTCTAATTGTCACAGTGTAATCATCTGGCTTTGGAGTTTGGAAGAAGTTAGGAGACACGCCTCTCTTTAAAAGTGCAATGGCATTCATTTTTTAAAAAATTAACATTTGAGGTTTTTGGCGAATTTACCAATTTAGTAAAATGATTTGGCCTTTAGTCACGCTTTAAACATCTGTAATAAAGTAACTTATTGGTATCTTCTTCCACCCCATACTTCCCCCCCCAAAAAATTTTTTTTTAAAAAAAGAACACACTATCTCTCAGAAAATAAGAATACTTGACCCTTTGCCTTGTCTGCCTATTAAATAATTTAGAATGTGACATGTGATGAAAAATTTCTTTTCTTAGTTTTCCAGCAGCACATAGCTCTGATGATCTGATTTTTTGTTTTTCAGCTTACATGAAATGAAGGGGAGCAACTCCCTAGTTCAACGAACTGTTTAAGGAAGAGGATTGCTTCGTACAGAGAAATAATTATTACCTTCCAATAACTGGATCAAAGATGAACCCAACTAATCCTTTCGGTGGGCAGCAGCCTAGTGCTTTTTTAACATCTGCCAGTAGTTCCATAGGAACAAGTCAGGCTAAGCAACCATTTCGATTTGGTCAGCCTTCTCTTTTTGGACAAAACAATACAGTACCTGGGAAAAGCTCAGGATTTTCACAGATATCTAGCTTTCCAACATCTGGAGTAGGTCACTCTTCTTCAGCACAACCATTAGGATTCTCCCAAACCTCAAATGTTGGACTCTTTTCTGGACTTGAACACACTCCAGCCTTTGTAGCTGCCTCTGGGCCTTCAAGTTCATGTGTGCCTGCAAACCCAAGGTTTACTTTCAAATCACCCACCCTTGGGGCTTTCCCAAGTACCTCTACTTTCGCACCAGAAACTGGAGAAGTAGCAAGCTCTGTTTTTGGGAAAACAGAGTTCAGCTTTAAATCTCTGGAAAATGCAGTGTTCAGACCCATATTGGGGGCTGAATCCGAGCCAGAGAAAACTCAAAGCCAAATTACTTCTGGATTTTTCACCTTTTCCCAACCAACTAGTAGTGGACCTGGAGGACAGACTCCATTTTCTTTTACACAGGCGGCAAGTTCGGCTACTAAATCCAATTTTTCGTTTTCGAAACCAGCTGATAGTAGTAGCTCATCATCACCTTTTCCTGCTCTGTCCGGTCAGAATGTGGAGGAAGAAAAGAAAGGCCCGAAGCCACTATTTGGAAGTCTTACTAGTAGCTTCGCTAGCTTCCCCGCGTCTTCAGGATCATTGGGGGAACCCTTCCCAGTGAGCAAAACGGGTGCCAGACAAGGATGTGAAGAAACTGTTTCCCAAGTGGAGCCACTTGCCAGCTTCATGAAAGGACTGAAAAGGAAGGAGGATCAGGATCGCTCCCCAAGGAGATACGGCCACGATGCAGTGGAAGACTTGGACCCTCTCTCGGGGGGCGATCATCCTCCGGATAAGCGGCCTGTCCGCCTGAATCGGCCCCGGGGAGGCACTCTGTTTGGTCGGACTATACAGGACGTTTTCAAAAGCAATAAAGAAGTCAGTCGCCTGGGCAACAAGGAATCTAGAAAGGAAATTGGCAGCGCCGAGTCTGGGGAGAATGATCACATGGCCACACCAGGAGGGAGTCAGAATGTTCTGGCAGCTTCCCGGTTTCCAGGTGGGAAAGAGGAAGAAACTGGAAGTAGAGATAAAAAAGGTGAGCTCAAAAAAAAAATGTACAACATACAGTCCATCTTGCTGTCTGGCAAGTCCTTGGTAAATTTTCCTGGGTGTTGGCTTGATTTTTTTGGTTAAGTCCCCTGTAAACATGAAGGACATTCATATACCATAGGATCTTGGAGCAGGTCTCACATACACGGAAATGTCCTTTGCCCTTACGTAGTGGGGGCTTCCTGTTTGAAAACATTACATCTACTACAGTTCTGTGCCCATTTTCTGATCCCCTAGATTTTCTAAGAGGAACTCCTGGGCGGCAGAATAAAAGAAGCGAGAGCACAGACAGTCTTGGGGGCCTCTCTCCCTCTGAAGTCACAGCGATCCAGTGCAAGAACATTCCCGACTGTTTCAACAACAGGACCTTTCTGGAGAATCACTTTGGCAAAATTGCTAAAGTGCAGCGCGTTTTCACCAGGCGCAACAAACGCCTCGCCGTGGTGTATTTCCTTGATCACGTGAGTACTCCCGACTGAGTTTGTGTGAGTAAAAAAAAAAATGGTTTTAAAGTAAAAAAGTAGGAGTGAACTTTGTCACTTCAAAACCTTTTTTTTTTTTTAATCAGTTATTTGCTTGCTAGAATATAGAAAGTCCTAGAATATTTTGTTCTTACCTTGCAGAGGCTAGAATAGCACTTTTCTTCTTACTTGAGTCATTAGTGAAAAGCTTGTAGCCCCTACTGAATGCTGTGGTGGGTCCCATGAAGTCAGATTCTTCTGGAACACACTGGCTTGGCTCCAGAACCACACAGCACTTTTCCAAACTTGAGTTCTGTTTTGTTTTTGATTTATTTGGTCATAGTATATATTTGCTGTTGATACTCAAACAATACAGAAAAAAGTGAAATCCCCTTGTAATCACATTCCCCACAGATAGGTTTGGTTTATACCCCAACTTTAAATACAACGTCAGGCAGAAGTAGGCTTATGGTTGTTGGTATGGACAATAATACAATAATTAATAAATAATAATACAAGAATTAACTGTGTTACATACAACTGTAAACCCACGTACTACCATGTTTCCCCTAAAATAAGACATCCTCCGAAAATAAGACCTAGCGCATGGAAAGATAAAACATCCTCTGAAAATAAGACCTAGCGCAACTTTGGGAGAAAAAATTAATATAAGACACTGTCTTATTTTTGGGGAAACAGGGTAGTATGCCCCACCCTGTATGTATATAAGTACACCTGTGCATAACAGTTATAGCTCACATTATGTAGATTTATATCTTCATTATTTTAAAAAATATTCTTGTGAGCGCCGAAACCTGTTTGGCTCAGTGGATAGAGCGTCGGCCTGCAGACTGAAAGGTCCCGGGTTCGATTCAGGTCAAGGGCATGTATATTGGTTGTGGGCACATCCTCGGTAGGGGGGTGTGCAGGAGGCAGCTGGTGGATGTTTCTCTCTCATTGATGTTTCTAGCTTTCTATTCCTCTCCTTTTCTCTCTGTAAAAAAATCAATAAAATATATATATTTAAAATATTCTTGGGGGGGAGGGAAATAAGTTCTATAGGAATTTATAAGGTAGAAAGCATGTTTTCATACTTTTGTTAAATGGTAGAAGTATTGCCTGTCAATATACTATGGGAGGGGCACCCACCCATAATTCTCTGCTCTAAGATATTGACTGAATATTGTGGATAATGTCTTTGCATATATAGAGTCACATTGTTTTTGCACAAATGGGATTATACTGTAAATACTGTTGGTAATCTCTTCGTGTGGCAATCTTTAGTATTTTCTGAAATGATTTAGCAGTCTAGATTAGAATTGGATTGTTAAATGTTACATGTCATTCTATCCTCTTTACTTTCTTGGTCAGCATTCTACTTATGGACAGTTTTGTGCATATATATATTTAAAAAAAATATATATATATATATATATTTTATTGATTTTTTACAGAGAGGAAGGGAGAGAGAGAGCTAGAAACGTCGATGAGAGAGAAACATCGACCAGCTGCCTCTTGCACACCCCCTATTGGGGATGTGCCCGCAACCAACGTACATGCCCTTGACCAGAATTGAACCTGGGACCTTTCAGTCCGTAGACCGACGCTCTATCCACTGAGCCAAACCGGTTTTGGCAATTTTTGATTAGTTTATATCCTTTTCTGAAAGTGGAAGTTTTGTGTAAATATGTACACAGTTTTAGGGTTTTGTTATTTA